AGTCGGAATTATCGTTCATCACACAGACATTACGGGCCAATGGATATGCAGAGGCATTCATCAGATTTCACAGCCACCCGAAGGAAAACAAACCAAGAGTACTTAGTGTGCCCAAAATGCCTGTCTATTTACAGCTACCGTTTAAAGGTAATGCGGTGATGGTGTAAATTGAACGACGGGTGAACACAGCTATTCGCCATACATTCAAGGCTGTCAAACTCAGTCCTATCTGGACAACCAAAAAGCTGCCGATGTCCCCAATCAAACCTATTCAACCGGTCTCCGCCACAATTCATTGCATTTACCAATTCGTCTGTACCTGCAGAAGCATTTACATTGGCAGAAGAGATGGTTGTCTGAGTAAGCGGATTGGAGAGCACATTCCGAAGCGAATTGCTGGGTTGATGGCACAACAAGCAACCGGACAAGAAGCAGCAGGCAAACTGCCGGCATCATCCATCGCTAGAGGTTACAGGTTATCAAGTTGACTCTGGGTCAACTTTTACGGTTAGCTACCTAAACGAAAACGCCAGGATGCTGAAGTTTGCCGAGGCTGTGGCACTAAATCGTCACCGTCCCACCCTTTGTGTGCAAAAGCTACTGACAGTAGCCTTTAAGCTTCCCTGGGGTTCATGACCTTTGCCCCAGCGATACCAGCTGGTGTTTCGTGTTTGTGTGCAATTTTGCTGACCAATTCAAAACGATCGTTTCCTTCCCTTACGTGATCTATATACGTTGCTAGTTTGCAAGTGATCAGATAACACGAAATGGTACCATTTGCAGTGCTCGTCTTTTTATTGTTTTGTTCAGTCCATTCATAATCCAGCCGACATCTGCGAAGCGCTTAGCTCATCTTTCGCTACTACCATGAGCCTAGAGACGACCCGTTAAATGCAAGCATTGGGGTGCAAACAACCAACACCCTCTGTAACATTGAATTTTCTATCATTGCTAACCAATATTTAATGAATTCTACTAAACCGTCTTCCCATCTGGATTCCGATGGTATCCCACCTGCCGTCATTAAACTGGGAGGGCCTGACATGTCGTTACTATTGCTGAACATGATTATCCATTCGTTGGCATCAATCTACTTACCAGACCAGTTGAAAACATCGCTCATCATCCACCGTCACAAGTGTAATCGGAGTTTCCTGTCTGCCAAACCCCTGCATAAACTCTGTTCCGTACCAACATTTTGGTTTGGCGTTTCACTACCCGTTTCCTCGATGTCCGAATATATATATATATATATATATATGGTTGGCGGCATCCGGTTTCGGATTTGCCTGTCACTGTGGCCAGCCACAGGACGCCTGCGCCTACAGAGCGACCATGGGTGGCTTGTGCTGCACCATCCACAGCTCCATCCACACCCCCATATCCAGTGTAAACCCGAAGGAATAAGACCGGGAGGCATGTGGATGGGAGCCACGTTTCATCAACGGAGCCGGCCCACACTCCTTCACAGGCAAACGCAAGCACGCTGTATTTGGAATCAAGCGCACACAAGGCGGTGGCTGGACCGTAGTCCGCTACACACTGAGTGCATGGAACCATTCTTCGAGCCTAGCACGACCACAAGAACCGTGCACCCCGTCCCCTCCAGCAACGACCAACTGTCTCCTGGAGCCAGTATGGACGAGGTAGTGGGTAATAGACAGGTAGGCACCTTGTCACATGCACATCAAGCGCAGCCACACCGGGGATATCAAGCAACAGCCAACCACCTGGAACGACAAGATGAAATAAAACAAATCCAATAATGCATACAGATACGGTGGCATAACTCTTCGCTAAATTAGCATATGAAGTAAGTTGGTTAGCAACGAATCCGCGATAAGGAAAGAATGTCCACAAGTTAGTTAAAAATGCTACAAACGCAACAAGCGCAATTAATGTAAGCAACGTGGCCAGTTAATAGAAGAGTATTCAGGTAGGCAGAACAAACCAAATAAAGTGGAATGAATATATATATATATATATATATATATATATATATATATATATATATATATATATATATATATATATATATATATATATTATATATATATATATATATATATATATATATATATATATATATATATATATATATATATATATATGGTACCGCACCAAGTTACAGGTGACCGCTGCGGCCGAGGAAAAGATCGGGCGCGCAAACCGTAAGTGACTCATTTGGTTTGATGACAGTAATGCCACCATCGGTGCAATGGTGTCGTAGAATGTGAGCAAAGCTACGTTGCCAAGACATGACAGAGATGAGGTTATCACAAACAAATGTTAAATTTCAGCGTAAGAAAACAATGGCAGTTCATCACTAGGGATGGCGCGATCACATCAAGAATACCGTTGCTCAAGTGCACCAGAATGTTAAGTCAGGAAAAACGTGCCGATTACGGAAGCGACATGCGCCGATGGAGCCCAGGCCAGCAACGTTAAGTAATGGTGCTGTAACACACGCGGTCGTGTGTTCCACCGCTTATGCAGTCTGTTAAGCCATCAAGGTGGTCACGATGGGCTAATATGGTAGAGACGACGAGTAAGTTGAATAGGTGAGTAGCAGCACAGCACTTGGTAAGTACGCTGCATCTGATTCCATTTACTAACCCAGGTCAGTAATGCGACAAATGTCGCACGTGTGCTGCATGACCGCTGCAGTTGTCCTGTGCGTGTGCCTGTGTGCCTACTTACAAGCATTTTAGGTGTTTCTTGCGCTTGATGTGAAGGTTAACAAGGTGCCAGCCTGTTGAAAACCTCCTCCTCGATTATACTGGTTCCAGGAGACAGTTGGACGTTGCTTAGGGGGACGGAGTGCACGGTCCTCGTGATCGTGCTAGGTTCAAAGAGTGGTTCCATGCTAGGGGTTTGTAATTGATTTCATCGAAAAGCGCGGACAAATTATTTTAAGCCTACTTCATTAGCATGTAGGTTTTAAAAGAGATTCGTCACATCGCTCTCGAGGTTGGCGGTAAAACCAAGAGTGCGGGTAAGCCAACTAAGCCGAAGTGCCATGTCTTCCGGAGAAAATGTTTGGAAGGTGAAATTGTAGGCCAATTTACGAAAGTACAGGCGTGTTTGAACCAGTCAACAGCTCAACGGCTGTAGGTCACATGTCCTTTTAATGTATCTAGCTAGCATACGTGTATACGAGTGGAAGAGTCAACCGGCACAGGATGCTCATCGTTGATGATTGCATGGTGGTCTTGACAATGGCTAAGTGAAAAAATTGACGCTTTAAAGTAAAGAATTTTCTAAGCGTTATGTGACATGATGAGCTGTAGAGTTACAGTTTACGAAGTTGGTGAACCTTATGAATATTCGACTGAGAAACTAATGTGAAAGTGAACCATTACGTGTGTCCTGAAATAACGGTTACAACCGCCAAGTACGAGTGGTTTCGCTAGTAGACATACCTACCAGCAAGGATTCGAAAGATGTCAGAAGTGGATCCATTATATATCGAGCGTTGCAGCTACTTTTCCTTGATCGACTGGGGGGTAGAACGATGTGATTACAACAGGACGGACAGGGCCCTAGAAGCTATCCACTTAGTGGCATGAACGATCAGCCTATATGAACAACATTACGACTGACCAAGATGGATGACCAGCTACCGTGTAGTACACCGTCCCGTGCATGGTGCGATCCGTGTTTGACGAATTGACTCTTCCTATCAAATGGAATTATACGGGGGTAGTGCACATACCGGTTGTATACTCGCAAGGAGTCACTCCAATTGACATGAATGGGTCGGGATCATGATGGGCAAAAGATTTAGAAAGGGGAGAGGTATCGCAGAGGCAACTCATATAGGACATACATTGCCTCACGGCGGGTAACAAATAAAAGTGGCGTCAACCGTGTAATCTACAGAAGCAACGGAACCTAAACTAACTGAACGGGTGATTTAGACTGTGCATCGCTCTCAAAGTTCACGACGTAACCGCTCATAAATGTAGTAACCATAGTTGGCGGAACAACCGTGGATCCCGCTAAAAGGGTGATAATTGGAGTGAAATACCGAAGACTTTCAGAAAGCGCCTTTTGCAGTTAGCTGAAGCAGTTTCCATCAGACTGACCCAGCCTAAGCTTTACAAGCAACGAGCTCTTGCGCAAGTGCTTCTCCTACCATGACCATGCGGCAGTTACTCAGGATCGGACACCAACTGCTTACTATCGGCTGCGAGACCTACCCTAAGTGAATCGACCTAGGTATCGATCTGACCTACTGACTACGTTCAAACTGTTGGCTTAGCTATCCTCAGCGTAGCTGACATCAGCTTACCATGATGTATGTTTTTCTTATTACTGTAATGGCCTGATGACAATAAAAGAAAATATATATTTCTTCGCCATTTGGACTTCTTATCTTAAAATGGGCATTGTTCATGAGTTGAAATACCTTGAGTCACATCAGGTATTGCCCTTGGTGTTGAGTGTGTAGGCATGACAGGAACGAACAGGCAGCAACTTGGACTCTTCTTTAGTACGAGTAAAATAAAACAAAAAATCTAAGATAGAAACAACAGGATAATGCGCGAAGATGGATGATGTAAGATGGGCGGAACAGGGTGTGCTAGGTCTAAAAGGGATAGATAACCAAGCGAAAAGCGTGATATCGTAGGAAGTGGTGCGCTCAAAGCGCACTCGTCTGTGCGGGCAATTTCGCTTATCAAAAATGGGCTTGTAATGTCAAGTTGACAACACTAGCGGATACCGGCTTTCGGTGATTACCTAGTCGAAAAGGCAAGCGCAGACAGATACTTGCGCGACAGTTGCGTATCGTTTTCTACATGTTGGTGCTAATATGTGGGTCTGAGGTTGCATTAGACTGATGGCAAATAGGAAGACAAGCCCTCCTCTTGCTATCTGAAATGTACGACGCCACATAGACAATGGCTATGAAGTTTAGATGGAGACACAAGTCACCATATGTAAGGTAAGCCACGTGAAGAAAAATTGAGAAAGGTAGGATTTGATATACAACTTACCTATATCTGAGCTATCTGAATAAAAGGAGTCTGGGCTAAGAGAAAGTCGGGTTTTGCGGGGAGCTGGATCTGTCTGATTCCTCGGTGTCACATCTGTTGAATGGTCGGGGAGCAGGTTGCTCGAAATAGAAGTCAGTTGCAAACCGACTGAAATAGCTGGAAATCGTTGGACAACACCACCCAGGGTTTCAGTCAAAGTAGCAGCCCCACGGGTACGCAAAGAACCAATATTCGCGGCCAAGGAATGTGGAGAGCTAGTTGAACTATTCGGTGGAGAGATCGCCTGAAGAAAGGAACGAATATTCAGTTGCCGCCGCCTTGCGGACGATAATGTGAATGAATTTGGAGAGACCGAATCAGAGGTGACTGTGTTATGAAGCAAAGTGGGAGAACGAATAATGCGTTTGGTTTGTTCACTTGGGCTCATTAAGGCCTTTGAGGGCGACAGACGTTCGGCAAGACCTGAAAAAATGAATGAACAGTAAAAACGTGTTTTAATAGTGTAGAAAGAAATGATGAAGCAGTGCATAATAGAAGCCAAAGTACTCACCAATTTTGGTGCACTTAACTTACTCGTGGTGACAATGCACACGTAAATAGGATATCCATCGCCACGAAAATGATTTTGCAAATAAAACCGTTATTACCTCCGAGGAAGTTTACCAATTGGCATAACATATGTCAACTGCTTTAGTGGATCGAAAGACGGTTGGGAAGAGTGTTGCACGGAACTCACGACATATATCGTGGGTCAGTTGCATGGACCAAAAGCAGCTTGAACGGTCATATGAATAAGCTGGCACGCTGATTACTATTAGTGGTAATGCTAACAAGGAAAGAGTAGAGACAATTAAAAGCGATAGGAGGAAGCAAGCTTACTGAGGGTCGACGATCAATAAAGGCAACTTCGAATGAATCAAGTATGCTTGCAATAGCACAAACTGCGCGAAGATCTAAAACGTCCATAGATAAGGCGAGTGGAGATAACAGAGAATCGTCTTTAAGACAGTTGTTCATGTGACCCATCCATTCTGTTTGGATAAGGCACATGATATGATATACAAAACGTGTCAGTGGCATACATGCTGTCGCCTTTCTGAAGCTCATGCCAAAGGTATGTGCGGTTCCGGATTGAGTGCAGGGTAAGGATCATTAGGATGCTTGGTAATAATAATAAAGAAGTGGTTTTGAAGTTGCAGCTCTATTCTCAAATAACAAATGGGAGTTAATGACTAGGTGGTGCACACTAGGTGAAGATATTCCTTAAATTTATAGATCCAACACTTGTCTTCACTAGTTTTGTTATAATCATCCATGGTTATGGAAGAAGAGCCCATGGTTTGCAAAGGTTTGCGAGGTCAAGATACTGACAAATCATTAACCAGCTGCGCCTAACGTTGTGCCGTAGAATCATGTCCTGGACGCCTCCTCGTGGTGGCCGCTGGGTGGGAGTTGGGTGATACCCCTCATCTAGGAGAGAAAAAGGACACACAGTTCCGCGTGAGTCCGTTCACTGACTCATGGCGTACGGCCCGGGCGTACGTTTTATCGAAGACTTTGGCTGAGGACCCGAGTCGTTGTCCTGTCAGGTGTGGACGCGCGTCAGTATCTCAGTACAAAGACTAACCATGAGTCACTATAATACAGGTAATCTTATATTGCATCGGCACTAGGAAAAGAGTCGCCGTATCTGCTGAATACAGCGGCGTGGACAAGGGAAAAAATGCTAGCGCTGACGTTTTTCTTTTTTCTCCTTTTACTGCACAGGCTCCATGTCCCCGTTTCACCTACCCCACTAATTCTTCCAATCCAGGTCGTCACCACTAGTACGATTGCCCGCCAACGCAATCGTATGCCTAAGCGCAAAGCGCTCAACATCGCGTGCTGGAACGTGCGCAAACTGCCCGACCGGAATACAAGTAAGCGTCCCGGGCGACGCACTGCGCCGGTCGCGATGGAACACGCGCAACGGGATCGATATTGCAGCACTCAGAGAGACTCGGCTCGCTGACAAAATCAAGTTGCGTGAAGCTGGTGCTGGTTAGAAGTTCCACTGGGTGGGAAAAGCCACCAAAGCACCACGTGAATATGGGGTCGGATTTACACTAGCAAACAGCCTAAATGGCCAACTGGTGGCAGATCCGATTGGAATCATCCCACGACTGATGACGCTTCGGTTGCGAGTGGGAAGAGGCAAATTTGCCACTTTTACTAACATATATGGTTCCATCATGTGTTATCCTGATGACATAAAGGATCAGGTTTACACTAAGCTGTACTCCGTGATACAGTCTGTGCCGAGGAGCAACCGGCTATTCCTTCTTCGTGATTTCAACGCTCATTGGGCGTGATGCAGCATTGTGAACGGAAGTCATCGGGCAGTATAGTATAGGCTCGGCCAACGGAAACGGTGACCGGCTGCTCTCACTGCGCGCTACTCTTGACCTGACAATCACGAACACTCGGTTTGCGCCAGGTGTGAGTGATATAGCTACTTGGACACACCACGGAGTGGTCACATTCACCTGCTCAGTTACATTAGAAGCCCAGGTCATGCGTGAAGTGCGCATGAAACGTGTACTGCGTGGCGCTGTGTGGTACTGATCACAAGTTGTACAAATTGTACACATATGTTCGTAACTCTAGTTATTGCTCAACTGCCTTGAGCGGGTGCAAATTTAATGTTCTTCCCCTGGGTACTAATGAGACAAGGACAGAGCTGGAGAAGGCGATGGGTAACAGCACAGGCAATGTCGGTTCCATCGCATCAGTAGGCGAGCTGTGGTCCAACATCCGTGAAAAGGCAACGGCCAGGGCCGAGGAAGCCATCGGGCACGCGAACTGTAAGCGGCCTGATTGGAATGATGACAACAGAATGACAATGGGTGTACTGGTGTCGGAGAAGAATGAGCCTTCGCTGCGCAAACGGCGGACCATGCTGATACGAAAAAGGAGAGTCAGTTTCGCGAATTTCAACGGCTACTGACTCGAGAACTCCGTCGCATCAAGGAAGTATGGTGGACGGAGAAGGCGAAACAGATGGGACGCCATGCCGAACTCCGTCACCACAAGGAATTCTTTGATTACTTGAAGTCAGCGTATAGATTCACCTTGCAGTCGACGACGTTACCCACTGCTATTTCAACCGCTGCCTGCACACAGACTGCAGACATAAGGCAGATCTGGCGAAAACACTTTGATGATCTCTTGAACAACCGTTCAGAGATTGACCGGCCGACCTTGCAAAGGATGCAACACCAGGAAATGTAGATGTGTCTTGCCGACAAACCGACAGTGCTTGAGACGCAAAGGACACTTAGCAGTGAAACCGCAAGTGCGCCGAGATCTCGTCTGAAGTATTGAAACATGGCGGACCCACGTTGGTAAATGCGCTGAACCACCTGTTGCAACGCGTGTGGTCTGAATAGGAAGTACTGGCTGAGATGAAGGATGTTCTTGTGTTAGCACTGCACAAGGACAAAGGAAGCAAACAATGTGCCTCGAAGTATAGTGGTAACAACTTGCTGAGTTGTGTGGGAAAGGTGATGGCTCGAATCCTGCTCAACCGCCTCGTCACATAAGTCCTTGAACCGAACGTGGAGGAAGAGCAATGTGGATGCCGTTCGGACCGCAGCACCATAGATATGATGTTTGCGGGTTGTCAAACGCAGGAGAAACGCCGAGAGCGACACCAGCCATTGCACTCGCTGTTTGTAGGCTTCACAAAGGCATTTGATACGGTGAACCGTGAGGCACTGAGGCTGGTGTTGGATGAGTTGGATTGATTGAATGTCTACAAAGTGGTCTGCGGGCGAAGGTGCACCTCTATGGGCAAAGGGAGGACTTTGATGTTGTTTTGGTGTGAAGCAAGCCTGTGTTAGCTCCTGTTCTGTTTAATGTCTACTGAAATGCTATGGTGTCTTGCGCTTTTGATACTGCTTGTGATTACGGTGTCCGCGTGAAGCACCGAATTGATGGTGGGTGGCTGAATATTCATCGTTTCGGGGAGGAAACCTTAGTTAGGAGACAACCATCTGTATGTTGCTTTTCATCGAAGACTGTACATCGTTTGTACGTAGTGCGGATGAATTTCAACGCAAGAGCAGGGTCTTCGCTTCAACAGCGCCAAGTTCGGGCTAACCATCAATACGAGCAAGACTTAGGAGCAGAAATTAATTCATGATTAAGAATTATTTCGGTAAACTCTAATCAGACCCAAAAGCTTACACAGCAACGATTATGCGTGGAAAGCGTCAAATCGGGCTGGGGACTGACTTCTAGACGGTCTGAATCGATAATTAAGCAATAGCTATAGTTGGTAAGCCAAGTGAACTAAAGGAACCTTAATACATAAATCCCAGTAGTCCAAAGTGAATAGCTAAGGTAACAAACATACAGCGAAGTAACAATGTCTGTTGGCCACGGTAGTAGTATCGGCCGTATGAATCGTTTTTGCACACAAAATTCCGGCTTACAATGGTGGATATAAACAGCCTAGGCAATGAACAAGTTGCTGTAGAAATTCTTGCATGAATCGTTCAGAAAGTGCGCAGAAACATTGAAGTGATTCCCGGTAGCTTTATGGTCAATGAGGTGTGACATGATTGAGCTGTTCGAGAACCGAATTTCGCCTTTGTGAGTGAGAAAAAGCAGTGTAATCCATATGACGCGCTGTAACTTTACAATGTGCTCCCGGCAATATGATTCCCTTTAGCAGTGAATGCAGCATAATAAAAGCTTACGGGTTTGTTGGAAGCCAGTCATGTGGCGACAACAGCTTTTGTAGCGATAGCAATACGGCGCCCATCGACCAGTCATCACATACGACCAGGCTGTTTTGCTCAATAGCTGGCACAGCGACCTACTAATCACTTCGCAGGGAACCCTTTTGCTAGCGTTTCACCTGCGTGAAGACCGACTACCGATCGATCGAAGCATGAAACCTTCAGTGCAGCTGTGGTGTCTGGCTCACTTCTAGTTCTCACAGCCGAACGGCTTGCGCTCCGTTGGTCTTGACCTGCGATCCACGCTTGACAGGTCGACTGCGGTTGCGGTGTTTGCTAACGTTCACCTCTCACAGCCGAACGGCTCGGCGAGCCCTGCGATCGTAGACACACATGTCGCGCCTCTCTGCCCCATCTCACCCCTCCTGGCAAAGCAATTTGCGCCATTGGACAGTTCGCAATGCAGCGTACCGCAATACGTCAGCACCTGAGTTCAGCCGCTCCTAGCTCCGGGTTTGCTTAATCAAACACCCTATATATATATATATATATATATATATATATATATATATATATATATATATATATATATATATATATATATATATATATATATATATATATATATATATATGGAGAGAGAGAGGGTGTTTTATTAATCATGTCCGGAGCTAGGAACGTCTACACAGTAAAGTGAAGCAGCTCGGCGGCCGACAGTCTGTCTGAATCGAAAATCCTTCAATGAACGTTGTCATCGTACACTAGCGATGCTCCAAAGGCAGCGGTAATCGAGAACAGATCATCCGAACATTTTCTGACGACATCAGAAGATGACTGATATCACCGTAGCATTACAGTCCCAGCCTTTCAAAGAGAGGTCCTGGTCGCCTTGACGCCACAGATGGCGCAGATGAGCAAAAGTAACCCGAGCCTTAAAGATGGTCAAAAAAGGCATAATTCGTTAAATCGATTGGTATTATTGTAGCTTCCAGGGTAAACGACCTTGTCCAAAAGTTCGCATGGATGACCCGAAAAGGTGAGTAGTAACAGCTCCTAGCCAATAATATAGGAATATTCTAAACTTTGGTGGAGCGAAGGTCATTCTAAGCTGGGAAATAGACACCTTCAAGCTATGTTGTACATTTTGAGCGATCTGCGAGGAAGCTCAAAGTAGGGCGATGTGGTCTGCATACTCCAAGTCATGAAGTCGGAAGCAATTCGATGCCACCGGGCAGGCAATTGTCCAGAGCACTTTCTAGGATGTGTTGCATAGCGAAATTGAACAAGACTGACCATAGGCAGCTCTGTCTCACGCCACTGGTGATACTAAATGGGCGAAAGCCAGTCATATACTCGCACCTTGCTCTATGTTCTAGTGTAAATGGCTTAAAGAATACTGTCATACTTCTCGGAGACCCCATTTCTCACAAGGGAACTGTTCGGTTAACTGAGTCAAACGCTGCTGGTATGACAAGAAAGGATTGAGCTGCATCGTCCTCCGTGAAATAGTACACTGCAGTAATTGAGCTGTTGATTAATACATGCTAGTTTATCAAGTAAGATTGTAGCATAGAAGTGCGTCCAGGTAATTTTAGACACCCTAAGTCAAACACAAAAGGAAGACAAGAAGCATCGGTCATTGACACCACTGCATACACGCTACGCCACATAAAAAGTATTAGGTGAATCTGTGTGGATGCAAAACTTCCAGCTAAAATGAGCGGAAATCAAGAAAATTTACAGATCACAATCAAATTAATTTTCCGTGTGTGCAAGCATATCATAGTGAACCTAAACAGGGTCAGAACATACCAGCGACTTCGCCAGGTTGTGGAAGAAGACAACGGCGGGCGGGGAACATCCTCCACACAAATGCTCTCGAGTCATCAGACAACGTGACTATGCGAGTCGGATCTGCTCGACACCAACGGGGTACACTGACTTCCCCACTATGACCCGATAGCACCACTGGGCGTTGTCGACGCTGTCCTATTGTGTAAATGTGAGCTCGCCGATCGGAACTACCACAAACAATGTAGTTGTCGTCTGGGCTTACGTCCAATTTGATGTAGAAGGAATCGGTTTGATGACCAGAGTACACAAAAACTAAAAGGTCAAGAAAAGCAAGTAGGTACACAGAAAGGGACTCATTGCATTATGTAGCTGTGGAAAAAATGATGTAATAAAAACCGTTACCAGTTATATCAAGGATTATTAGCGAAAATCATGCGGACACCAAGCAGCATGAACTGCAAACACATAACTCATTAGTTGTGGTGTGTCGCCAAAACTACGTCCACAGGGGGTCAACTGATGGAAAAGTTGTGGAAGGCATTCAGATGAAGAACCCTCGAGTAATGTAATGGAAAAATAATGTATTTCAGAGAGGCCAATCTCAGCCAGCTTCAGTCATACAGTCACGTGTGGAAAAACCATTTAGTAATATTTGGACGCCTTGGAACAACAACTATCCACTAACAGAGCAGTGGCTTGAGACACCGAGCCACAGGTGCGGGACAAGCTATTAAAACAGAAGGGCTGTAAGCCTACTTGTGACTGAAGAAGGGGAGTCGAAACATTTAGGAACAATACTACGGATAAATCATGGTGACTGGTCGATTGTAAGTGGGTTCAATGCTTTTTGGTAGGCGGTGCATAACGAATTAACTACGCTTAACGGAACCGTATGATTTAATGAATTTCAGTTTGTTATTACTCGATTGTAGTGCAGCAGCTGTTAACTCACAATGAGCAACTGTATGCTATCTGGTGCGTCCTCCAGCTGCTGATGGGGGATACTTTCCATGAGAACTGTGAACATGCTTCTTGTGCTTCGCAGGCGAGATGAAACAGCTGCGGTGTCCCAGAATGGGGGGAGTTTAGACTAGTCACTTGGCTCACCATAAAATACACAAGAGCATGTATGGTGTTGTGTTAAAGCAAACGTGACCGACTATAGAGGTACAAGAATGTGGGACAGCTAAACAAAATCGATGTTCACCGGCTTCTGAGTGAAGTATCACGAGAAAAATTTCATAGACTTCGAAAGGTGTTCGTGTCTAACGTAGAGCTCAGTGAACCGGGGAACGTCTTCTATCTTTCGTGCCACTTTACCAGGGTTGAGTTTTTGTGAACACTCGAAAGCCATGTTATCTGGCATTAGGTACAGAGCTCCGGTGGTTGCGCAACAGCGAAGCGTCAGTACTGCGTACCGGCGTACTGTTGATACCTTTCATTTTCTTATGAACAATAGTTGAAGCAGATTGACCACATCGTCATCAGCTATCGCTGGCGAAAGCGCATAACGAACGGCAAATCGATTAGTAGAGAATGTATCATGTTGTATCTTGCGGTTTTGTCTGCTTAAGCTGTTCTGCTTTCTGTTGGCACAGAATAGCGTCACCGTTAAGCACTTGCCTAATTTTCCGCTCCAAGCATGCTTACCTTTCAGCGCACAATAGCTTCGAACGTCAAGATCCATTCACATCCAGACGAGGCATGTTGGACAAAGATCTGAAGTGTCATGCAAAATTCCGACACTCATCTGCGACTCAGCTAGAAATACCATCAAACACTGGGTCTCCACACGCTCTAAACAGCTTCTATACCATTCATCAATCAATTGTAAACATAGTGTAAACAAATTCCTCCGTGAGGAAATCATGCTTCTCTGGAAGTCATTAAAGATCTTTGGTATCCCAATCAAGTTGCATGCAATGTGGATACACGCACGCAAGCTAGTAATGCATGCTTATAGAATATAGGTTTATGCACATTTGATGTGCTGTTGGCAGTTTCGGATTGGCCGTTCAATGAACAATACGCGCCTGAGTGAGTGTACTCGTGTTTGGTGCAATTCGATTGAGGTGTGAATTATCATGACTGATAAAAGGAACAATACGGCTGAATTTGTTTGCATTATGGATGCAATTGATGTAAAAATGTTACAGACCATCGGAATAATGCCTGCTTGTGTTGGGTGCAATTCATTGTGCAAAACTACCGATATCGAGCTCACATTGCGTTTCAGGGAAGATCGCAAAGCCTGGTGCACGAGCGTAGCATTGAGAGGGAAAAAGCCTCCCCTTCAAGGAACTCCGGCACTTGATATTTTACATACAATTGTCCTTCAAGATGCGGTCTGTGTCGAGCAGCGATCGTCTATTCCTTCTTCGTGATTTCAACGCGTGCGTCGGATGTGATGCCGAAATGGACAGAAGTAATCGGGACATATGGTATGAGTTCAGCCAATGGGAACGGTAAACCGCTAGCTTGCATTATGCGCCACTCACGGCGAGAGGAGTACGAACACCCGGTTTGCACTAGATGCGAGTGATATAGCTACTTAGACGCACGCACGGAGTGGTCACCCTCACCTGCACGACTATGTCATCGTGTGACTGTGGGACATGTGTGAAGTGCGGATGACATGTGAACTGTGTGGAGTTCGTCACAAGTTGGTGCGGATCAAAGCGTATGTATAATCTCGTCAATTCATGTATTGTTTTCCTGTCATGAATTGGCGGAAATTCAGTGTTGGTTTCTTAGGTACTGTTGAGAAGAGGATGAATCGGGAGAATGCGATGGCTAACCGACATGACGATGTCAATTTCATCGCCAGTGACACCATATCAAAGCGGGTGACCGTTGCGACCAAGGAAACGATCGGGAAAGAAAACCGTAAGCGGCACGGCTGGTCTGCTGAAAATAGTGCAACGGCGGGTGCATTGGTGTAAGAGAAGAAAGCAGCATTTGTTGTCCTGCCGACACCGAGACGGCGTAGACGTTTGAGTCGGAAGTCCGTCGCGTCAAGAATGCAAGAGAGGCAAAAAAGACAAAGTAAATAGAATGATATGCCGAACGCTGCTAACATGTTCCATGACTCATTGAAGGCAGTGTGTGGACCCACCTAGTGGCCGCCAGAGAAGCCGGTAGACACCACCTCAGATACTGCCTGCATAAACTGCATACATAAGGCAGATATGGCGAAATCAGTTCGACTCTCTTTATCGAACGTTCAGAAATTGATTGGTATACGTTTCAGGGGATGCAATAATAGTGAAGAACAGTCTTGTTAAAATAGCGACACTACATGAGGCGCACTTGCTCAGCTGCGAAATAGCAAGTGCGCTGGAGTCGACGGGATACTCCCAAAAGTGCCGGAAAATGTTGGACCCGCGTTGCTAAATGCGATGCACCACATTGTGGAACGCGTATTGTTTGCAAAACAAGTGTCAACTGACCTGAAGGATTTTTTATGTGAAAACGTACACGAGCAAAGGGAGCATGGAATGTACTAACAGTTATCGTGGAATCAAGTTGCTAAGTTGTGTTGGGAAGGTGATTGATAGAATCTAGTTCAAGTGCATCGTCACTCAAGTCCTTGAAACAAATGGAGCTGAAGAGCAACGCGGATTTCGTTCGGGACGCAGCACCATAGGTATGGTGTGTTCATGGCTCGTCAATTAACCCTTATGCTCGTCATGTGACACGGTGAACCGTGACGCACTGTAGATGGTGTTAGGTAGGTTCGGTTGAGTGGCTAAAATTATAAGCCTTATCGAATGTCTGCACAGTAGTATGTGGGCCAAGGTGCAGCTGAGAGGGTAAACATCGGATGACTTTGCCGTTGCCTCTGGCGTGAAGCAATGCTGTGTCTTAGCCCCTGTCCTTTAATATTTATATTGCTGTCATGAGGAATTGTGCGTTCAATACTTGGAATTACTGTGCCCATCTCGAGCAATGTACCGATGTGGGTTGTGAGGCAAGATCCCAAGTGCGTGATACAACAATCCGGACGCTGTTGTTTGTCGACGTCTGCGTGCTGTTTGCATACAGCGAGTATGTTTCAACAGATGATGACGACTCTTGCTTTGGCGACGTTCAAGTTCGGACCCACCATCAACTCAAGCAAGACTATGTTTTTTAACACATCACCAGGAATAGAACTCGTGGGCCGCGTGCAAACCAAGGTTGACGATGAAGTTTGTAGACGTCGAAATTCCCCTACCTCGGGAGCATACCGTCAACAAGTCTGCAGATGGCAAGCGAGTTCATCATTCGAGTATCGAAGGCGAGTGCTGCATTTGGTAAGCTGGAGCACTGGGTCTGGAAGAATTAACAGCTGACTGTTGTGACCAAGCTGAAGATCTATTTGTCGATGGTGCTCTCGATTCTTCTTCTTCTTCTTCTTTATGACAGCGAAAGATGGACGTTATACATGAAGGACATCAGATATTCGGAGCGCCTTCAACAACAGTGTCTGCGTCGGATTATGCACATCCGTTGGAGTGACAGAGTTGCTGGCACGAAATTGCCCCACAAAAGTGGCATGTATGGAGTGGACTGAATGCTCCTGCTCTTACATCTGAGGTAGCTCGGACATATCCGTCGTATGCATAGTGCTAGGAAACCGAGACACATTGGCAACTTAGTCATGGTAGCGAAACGTAGACGAATTGATGCGCTAACTGGACATGATAAGGATGAGTTTCACGAACTACTGTCGGTTTCATTTATTGGGAAGCAATGGTAGTGGATCACCGCCAGTGGCGTGACTGCATCAAACGTGCGGTTGCCCAGGTACACCAGTAGGGACTGTTGTAAAAGGAAAAAAGGTCGGTTAAGGAAGCTGGAGACTAACCCATTGATGTCAAGCAATGTGCTGACGCACATGCGATAGTCGATATTTGTATACGTAACTGTTAATTTACCCGTTTGTGCGTACAACAGAATCCAAAGAAAAACCCGATGGAGTAACGCTGCTAGTAATGAAAGTGGCCGAAGACTATGTAGCGATGCGGTTTGTGGGTTAGAAATGTTCATTATAATCATCAATACACGTTAGCTGGGGATGAAACACACAGCTGTGTCGCAATACAAAAATTCAAAAGTGCGTGATATATACATATATATATGGGTGATATCATATATTACATATATAAGATCGTGACTGGAGGGGGAATCTAAAGGAGCGGGGGATGGACAAATAAACATAACACGAACGCCAGTGGAGCCGGCTCTCCGCAATAGCAGCAAGTGTGTCCAAACAAACGTGTTCATCGTCTGTCGAACCCCAGCCAGGCAGTCGGGATGCACCAAACGGCGCCAACTTCGAAGAAAGGGGCTTCATTCCTCTTGACCAAGTCATTGCTTGGCCTCCCCTCCTCAGCTTCCAACCACACTCCCGGCGCGCAAACAACACACGACGTGGAAGTCGGTGGGCTGGCATGCGCAACACGTGGCCCAGCCATCAGAGCCTGGTGGGTAATGTAACGGTGCTGAGTGGTTCACTCGCTCTTTCTGCATCAAATACGCGATGCCGAACACATTCATTGCTCACACGGTGCTCCCACCAGACATGAGCTAAGCTGCGAACGTAGCCATGGTCAAACGTGACGAGCCTCTTTATGTCTGTCGATCTGATGGACCAGGTTTCACAACTACAGGAGGGTTGGACGGAAGGCTACATGATAAACTCTGCTCTTCATTGCGAAAGTGATGTTGCGTCGGTACCACAGGTGGCGGAGATGGACAAAAGCACCTCAAGATTTTGCTATACGGTCTGTGACCTCATAATCCATTTTACGGTCGCTAATATAGCTGTCAAGGAACTTGGATTGCTGAACGAATTGAAGCTGATCACCACAAAGGGCCAGCACAGGGGTAGGTCCCTGCCAAGCTTGGAGAAATAATTTGCATTTCGATAGAGCAAAGCACGGCCAGTGTTAATCGGTCCAGTGCTGCTTGGCACCTTTTGGACCTGTCACAGATTAGGGCAATATCGTCCGCCTACTCTAAGTCAAGAAGTCGCTCACCAGGAAGTAGCTCCACAGTTTGTAGGTCGTGTTCCAGCGAACGCTGTTTCCGTGACTTCGTCAATGGCGAAGTTAACGAGGAAAAGTGACAGCGGCAACCTTGTCTCACATAGCTGGAGATATTGAAGGGCGGTGACGGTGTGCCATAAAACCTCACTCTGTCCGAAGTATGCGCTTACAGCGCTTTGATAAAGTTTACGTATTTAGCCGGCCCACCTTTCCTAAGCAGACAGTCCCAAAGGGCACATCGATCAACCAAATTCGAAGACACCTTTGATGTTTAGAAAAACGACAACTGTTGGTCGTAAGTAAATTTTACTTTTTCTGATTTGAGTTCGCCGGATAAGGCCTTGTCCTGTAAAAGTCAACGAGTGCAACAAAAACGATAATTAGGCCTATGAGTACTGACTATCTTCCTGCGTTAATGGGAAATTCAGAGCCCTCAAAATATCCGAGGAGCGGGTTAGTAAACCCATAGTCACTCTGCTCCGTTGGACCTATGGCCAATGAAAATCAAGTAAAAGAGTCGTATTGAGTTCGTCTACGAGGCAGACAAACTGACTATGCCTTCGCATTCTGATTCACGATCACGCAGCATTAAATACAAAGGATACACTATGCGTTCAGAGGTAACAGTGCTTCATGCTGGCTGGGATGCTACGGAACTTCATATGTGTAAGGAAGCCGGATGACGAGAAGTTCAAATTATCCTGATGAAAGATAAATAACATAACCAAGCCGACGCGGAGCTCCGGCCTGGTGATCAAGACGTAAGGTGTCAACCCTATGAGTCAGGTTCTTCACTCAGCTCGGGCTATGCCCAACTGAAGAGTCCAAATCAGAACAAAACCGGTCGTGGAGTGCAGTATTGGAAGAATACAACTCCGGAACTCTCCATTTCGGATGCTTCCCGGTTTTGAAATGGTTTTGGGTAAAAATAAACCGTGGTCCTAATTTAGATTGCGTATCCAAATCCAGACGCATGGTGGGTACTCCAAGACCCAAAAGTCATACTATCCTTAAATTGATCATCGGGAGAGTTGATGTAAATGAAGAAAACAGAGAGCATAACCAAGGCACTCATAGCACTCAGGTTCGTGGCAGTCGTTATTGTGATTGTAGCAGGACGCTATTGGACAATATTACCATAACAGAGACACAGTAGCATACACATTTAACGTGCGGGATGCAATTCGGACGAAGGAGTGAACACATCACGAAAAATGCTCAGTATGTAGTCCACTTTCACGCCACGAAATGTTGACTTAAAATCAGCAGAACCATCATTAACTCCAGGGGAAACTCAGAGCCCACATTAAATCCGCTTTCATGGAGTGAACGTTGGAAAATGAAGCTGCACCCCAGCAGGCGTGTCCC